TGCTGGCGGCGCGGTTCCTTATCATGTCATTTTCTGGCGGAACTTTTTGTAAAAAAAAAAAAAAACGACGAACGAGGGGTCTCACTTCCATGGGTCTCCTGACCCAGACCTACCAAGCGTGTGCGCGTAAACAGCGAGGTAGTTCCTCATGTTTATTTTTCATAATCACACGCACATCTAAGATCCCAGCGTGAGCAGAAGCGTCACCTTCAGTCACATTTTACGTCCTGGCGCCACGCCTTCCCCAGCCTCGCCCTGGCGGGACACCGCTGGTTGTGACCACCGTCTGGAACGACGGCTTGGCTGGAGAAAGAACCGCGCGCCGACATTTTCTCAGAACCTTTCCAAGCGGGTGTTCCTCTGTCTGAAGAAGTTGGCCCTTGGCCAGTGGAGCCCCTTCCTGGGCGGGAGGGGCCCCCCGTCCTCTCTGGCCGCTCCTCTCCGGTGTCGCCAGCCTGGGTCTGAGTGGGAGCTGGGCTGGTGTTACTTTAATCTGCTCAGGAATCGGTTTGTTTTTTCTCATCTTAAGACTTGGTGGCCGGTTGTTGGTTTTTCCCATTCTTTGAAATTCTCAGCCATTGTTTCTTTAAATAATGTTCTTCCCTTTGTTCTAATCTCTTCTGGAGATGTCATCAGACCTGCTGGAAATCTCTCTCCTCTCCCTTCCCCCCCCTTCTTATCTCGGTCTCTTTCTCTCTGCCATCTCTCTCTCCCCCTCCCTCTCTCTCCCTCTCTCTCTCCCTCTTTCCCTCTCCCCTCCCCCCTCCCAACAGTGGACGGATTCCTGGGTCCTTATAAGTTTACATTTCATGTTTATTCAGTCCTTTCCTTGGGTTTCATTGTTCTTTTCCTGATTTCTTTAACATTTACTTTATTCTTGTTTAGTAATTGCATTTTTTAAGGTGCGAATTTTCCATCTGAGTGTGGCTTTGGCCACGTCTCAGAGGCTTTGAGGGATAGTGTTTTCCGTGTGGTTAGCTTCCAGATACTTTGCCATTATGGACCCAAGTTTTATGTTGCACTCAAGTGGTTTAGGAGAGTTTCAGGAGTTTTTAGTTATTTTCAAACATGTGTTGAATTTTACTTTTGACTCTATTCCGTTAGCAGCCTTATCATATCGACTTATTAACATTCTTTCTAAATGTGTGTTTAGTTGTTAACGGGAATTGCCAATAACGGCAATGTTTGTGTTAAGATCCTGTGCACTTCCTGTCTTCACCGTGTGCATCATCTGTTTTCCTGCTGTGTCACTCGGCGTGAAATGTCCAGGAGGTCACAGGTCTTGCCAGGTCAGGTGTGCAGTGTCCTTTGTGACGGTCAGTGCCAGCGGGGGCAGGGCAGGGAGCGGTCCGAGCAAGCTCTGCGCTGAGCTGGACACAGGCACGGCCCGGGAATCGTGACCTGAGCCCAAATCGAAAGTGAGACGCAGGCACCTCTAATGACGTTTCTAATCAGGTGTTTAAAGGGTCATTTCAGGGTGCCTGGGCGGCTCAGTAGGTAGAACGTCCAACTTCGGCTCAGGTCATGATCCTGTAGTTCGTGGGTTCGAGCCCCGCGTCGGGCTCTGTGCCAATAGCTCAGAGCCTGGAGCTGCTTCAGATTCTGTGTCTCCCTCTCTCTCTGCCCCTCCCCCACTCATGCTCTGTTTCTGTCTCAATAATAAATAAACATAAAAAGAAATTAAAAGGGTCATTTCCAGAAAGAGGTAAAATGTGTCTCTCCGACAGTGGTGAGAAGGGATACGGGTTTGGGGTTTTCTTCTGTTCATCCAGCAGCGGCAGCTGGCTCCCAGGAGGGGCCCAGTCACAAGTAGCAGGACAAAGACACTGACTGGCAAATGGAGGTGGACCTGAGTTTTCTAAGGGGAGGGGCTGCCAGGAGAACCATGGGGGACCGTGATGCACGCGCAGAGTACACGTCCCTCAGCTCGCAGCACTGCGGACAGGGTGGCGGCCTGGGGCAGAGGCCTTGCTGCGCTCAGGGCGGCTTCCATCCCAAAGCATGTGTTTTCTTGCCATTTCTCTGCTTTTCATAAAACATGATCTCAGAGAAGGATGATTCGTGATCACGAACAAGGCTGGTCCCTTGGCCGGATCATTTCCATGTAGCAAGAACATTAATTCACTGATCCGGCCTTCCCGAGCTTGCTTTGCCAGAAGTTTCCATCAAGAGTCCAGATTGGACTTTTACAAGCTTCTCGTTTGCTGTACTGAGAGCAAGAAGCCGAGAACTCACTGGCTTCATCTGCTGAATGATTCTGAGCAAATTCCTTTTATCTCAAGGTCAGAAACACCCGAGGCCTGGGGGCTGCTGGTGACCTTCCCAGCTCTTCACCAGAGAAGCCGCAGTCCTGACGTGTGAGTGTCCAGCTCAGATCTGGCCAAACAGGCAGGACTGTGGCCGTAGGGCCGTGTTTCCCGTCAGGCCCCGACCTCAGGGCGCCGGTGCAAGTAGAGGGCCGCGTTGCCAGGAAAGTGCTAAGAAACGAAATTCAAGCAGGTGACTTTGTGGATCTAGTGGCTTTACCGAGTGATTCACGACTCAGGCAGCTTCCCGTGCAGCAAGTGGAGGGAGCTCAGATGGCTGCACAGAGCGGAAGGTTCTTACAGGAAGGAGAGTGCCAGCCAGAGGTGATGGTAAAAGAAAGGATTGCCAGTCCCTCCCTGTAAGGGCTGGGGTCTTACCTCGCAAGGACCTCTTCTTCCTTCGGGGGCGGAGAGGGCCCAGTGGCAGGCTCTGCACTGACCGCGGCCTCCTGACAGCCGGTGAAAGCTGCGCTTCTGGCCGAGGCTGGAATGCGGCCAGGCCAGGCATAAAGCCCTGGTTTGGGCCTTGGCCCGAGTGACTTGAATTTGGGCCTGTGATTTGCTTTTGAACAAAAAAGAAGACTGTGGGGCGCCTGGGTGGCTCAGTAGGTTGAGCGTCAGTTTGGTTTCAGCTCAGGTCATGATGATCTCACGGTCTGTGAGTTTGAGCCCCACTTTGGGCTCTGTGCCGACAGCATGGGGCCTGCGTAGGCTTCTCTCTCTCCCTGTCTCTCTCTGCCCCTGCCCTGCTCGCTCTCTCTCAAAACAAACTTAAAAAAAAGAAAGATGACTCACCAAGAGTCTCTGAGTTCTGAAGACTTAAGGAGAGAGTAAGATGCCACTTGGAGGTGTTTCCCTTCAGCTCACAAAGGCAGAGGCCGCTGACGCGTTACGGACCGCGGCCGGCTCCGGAGGGAGAGAGGGCCCGGCTGGGCCTAGGAAGTGGCCGTGAAAACGACGTATCTACAGAAGAGCCGCAGCCGTCCCCGCGCCGCCCCCCGCCCTCGGCCCACTGGGTTCTGGTTCCTGGTCAGAAGAGTCCACGTTCTTCTCACCTGGGGCCCCGAAGCCCTGCCTCGTTCCACTGGGAGCGTCTCCAGGTGTCAGGCGGGCCGGGCAGCGCCGGCAGAAGCCTGTGCCCGGAGCACAGCGGGCCTCGCCCCCAGGGGACACCGGAAACCGGCCCGCACTGACCACCGCACCGCGCATCCCACGGTTTCCTGCGGTGACGTTTACAGGTGCGGCAGGAGGTACAGCAGCAGCTGGTGAGAAATAGAGCAGTTAGTCCCGTACGTTGTGAACGAGGTCCTGGCACTGTGGTCTCAACATAGTCTTACCGAGCCGACTCCCCTTTCCCGGGATGCCGTGAGATAGAGAGCTGCCCGCGTGCGGAGACGGGGCCGGTGGGCGCTGTGGGCGGGTGACTGGGTCAGAGGAGGACCGTGGGTTTCCAGCCGCGGCCGGAGCACCGGTGGCTGAGGCCGTGGACGAGCCCTGCGCGGCCTCTGCACAGCCCTCCCGACCGCAGGCGCACTGGCCTCGCTCTAGAACTTTCCCTCGCGTCTCGTTTGTTGCCTCTTCTCTTTTCTCATCAAAGTACCACTTCTTCCACAGCGACTCCACCGCCTTACTTTTCCAGCGGCATCTGCCTGGGTTCCGATTTCTCCACATCCTGGGCAGCACCTTCTGTCTTTTCCATCCCGTCCACCTGAGGAGTAGCTCCTGTGGTCTAGATTCCGCATTTCCCCGACAGCTAACGATACGGCCGTGGGCGCTCGTCGGCCACTTGTGGGTCTTTGGGCCCCAGAGCTTTTATGCTCAGGTGTTACAGTCTAGGAAAATAAGGTCATTTCCAAATTGTGTCCTTCACATGCGCTTTCATCTCCTCGGAGAAGCTGACGCAGAATTCAGGAGCCGCCCCTGAAGGTCCACGGTGACAGGGCTGATTCCCTAACTACCCAGATGTGAATAACATGCACTGTACTCACCACCGTCTTCAGATGAGTGGATAATAACCTTTTTCAAAATTTCTGTTTCCGTTTCAAATACAGTAAATACCAGCATTTACAACTCACATATACACTACAACTTCGGCATCCTCACTGAGCTTGTGTTTAACCACGCTGATTCATCGTTCTGACAAACGTTATTTTGACAGTAATTGCATCTTGTCGTGTGTCAGCTTAGAGATAAACTTCCTAGATTTCTAGTAACTTAACCCAAGTTGAGTTAGCAAACAGGTGTTCTTTGGGGGCCCAATCATTTCTGACTAAGCCAGGCTGCCTGCAAGGGGACAGGCGCCATCTTTGCGTTTATTCACGTAACCTCCTGCTGCTACCTTCTTGTGCGGCAGAGAGAGTGCCCTTTGGGCCCGTTAATGCAGGTGTGGACTGCTGCTTGGAGAAGCCGTGTCAGGCCACGTACAGCTGCAGTGACGGGCGGAGAGGGGTGACGCGGTATTCTTCCTTGGGGTTTGTGTTTGGCACGAGGGAGACCCAGGAATGAAGTACATGCAGAAAGCAAACCGTGTTGGTGCCTGGCTGGCTCGGTCGGCAGAGCATGTGACTCTTGATCTTCGGGTGTGAGTTCAAGCCCTACGCTGGGCACAGAACTTACTTTAAAATAAAAAGGTAAAAGGAGAAGGAGAAGAAGAAAAAATAAGAAAGCAAATCCTTTCTCTCTCCTTGTTTCTAGGGAAGCCGCCTCACCAGCCCCTGACCCCCACTGAGGCCTGGAACGCGACCGAAGCACCTCGGGGGCAGGAGACGGCCCCGTCTGCAGTCCAGGTAACACTCCTGTATCTGAGAACAGCGTCTTCGCTGACTTTTTACCAGTTGCTTAAGGACCGCATTTCATCACCAAAATGCCACAATCCAGTAGACATAATCCAGCTTTCAGCGCCTGAACATGGTCACCAGTGACATCTCAGTGTATCCTGCTGTTTTTTAAAATTACACAGGGCGCCCAGGAGGCTCAGTCATGAAGTGTCCGACTTTGGCTCAGGTCATGATCTTGTGGTTCGTGGGTGGGTTCGAGCCCCACGTCGGGCTCTGTGCTAACAGCTCAGAGTCTGGAGCTGCTTCAGATTCTGTGTCTCCCTCTCTCTGCTTCCTCCGCCCTCAGTTCGCGCTCTGTCTCTTTCTGTCTCAAAAATAAACGCCAAATGAAATGAAATGAAATAACAAAAAATAGGGGTGCCTGGGTGACTCAGTAGTTTAAGCGTCTGAGTCTTGATCTTGGCTCACGTCATGATCTCACGGTTTGTGAGGTCAAGCCCCACGTCGGGCTCCATGCTGATGACGCAGAGCCTGCTTGTGCACGTGCTGTCTCTCTCTCTCAAAAATAAACTTTTAAAAATAAAATTATAAGGGGCGCCTGGGTGGCTTAGTCAGTTGAGCGTCCGACTTTCGCTTAGGTCATGATCTCGCGGTTTGTGGGTTCGAGCCCCGCGTCGGGCTCTGTGCTGACTGCCTGCTCAGAGCCTGGAGCCTGTTTCAGTCTGTGACTCCCTCTCTCTCTGACCCTCCCCTGCTCACGCGCTCTCTGTCTCTCCTAGAAATAAATAAAACATTTTTTAAAAATTTTTAAAAAATAAAATAAAACTATAAAAATAATAAAAATAAATACAAAATAAACATAAAATTACAAATTACATCATATGTATATTTTATTATAGCTTTACCCACCTGGGTATTATTTTTCAAATCCTCACCAATATGATGGGTTAAAAAAATTGCATCTTTCAAAAGTTTTTCCCAAGGCTCAGAGCCCGATGCAGGCTGATCTCACAACCATGAGATCACGACCTGAGCTGAAATCGAGAGTCAGACGCTCGGCACCCTGAGCCGCCAGGCATTCTCGCGCCTGCTGGTTTTTACACACGACAGACCTGCTGCTCGTCCGTGGTAAACCTTTGTCACTCGCCTTGACCTTTTCTTTTTTTAATCCAATGAGCTCTGTCGGTCCACTTTAATGGTTTATTTCACTGTTTTTGGCTTAGAGTGTTTTTCTCTGTTTTGAGTCTTAGGTAAGCCTCCCCCATCTCTCCTAGCCGCCCCGTCTCACCAGCTGTCATGGCGCCATAAGCAATCACCCTCCTCACTGACTTCGAACTGATACTTTTATCATGTGCCGAACATCTAAACTCTTGCTTATGTCTTTTTTAGATTAACGCTTTATTTGGAAATGATTTCTAACCTGATTCACCAGTTGTTAACTTGTTAGCACATTTGGTTTGTCATTCTTTCTCTTCCTTTTTTTGCCTCCCCCACATTTTAGATGGATGGACGGACGGATGGACGGACGGATGGACGGATAGATGATAGATGGATAGATGGAGGGATAGACAGAAGGATGGATTGAGGATAGATAGATGTTAGATGGATATACAGATGATGGATAGACAGGGGATGGATGGATGATGGATGGATGGATAAATAGATAATAGAGAAAAGGTAGAGATACACACAGACAGCTTTGCTCCTGGATCAGCTGAGAATAAGCCCCCTCATGTCTGAAAATGAAGATACCTCCTGACATTATGAACATCAGGAAACATAACATTAATACAGTCCATGGGTGCCTGGGTGGCTCAGTCGGGTGAGCATCCAACTCTTGATTTTGGCTCAAGTTATGATCCCAGCCAGGGTCATGGGATCAAGCTCCGTGTTGGGCTTCAGGCTGAACAAGAAGCCTGCTTAAGATTCTCTCTCTCTCCCTCTCCTCCCCTTTGCCCCTCCCCTGCTTATGCACATACTTATATGCGCCTTCTCTCCCTCTCTCCCTCTCCCTCTCTCTCTCTCTCAAATAACAAAGATAAAATACAATGCTAGAATTTAATCCATGTTCTATACTCAGATTTTGCCAGTCACGAGTCCAGGACCCATGCTGCCTCCCACACTTGGCACGCCTGTGCGTGTGTATGGTTATGTGTGCTGCACGTGTAGATGTATTTGTGCACGTGTGTGGGCACCCATGGGAGTGGGCACTTGTATGGGCATCTCCTACGCCTCAGAATGGGCCTTCTGACCTTGATTGTCCTTCACAACACTGACTCTTGGGAAGAGCCAGGCCAGCGTTGTGCAGACCGTGGGCGACACGTCTGCATTGTGAGATTCGGGTCTGCGTTTATGTTCCCATCGTCCCAGTGAAGGGCCCCCTCCCCTTAAACGCCATGGCTTGTTTCTGCTCCGTTACAAAGTTTTCTTAGCTCTTCTTCCCATTAGGTCTTTACTCAGTGGATATTGTAATTTATGTGTTTTTATTACAAATATTTTAGACTTCCAAGAAGAGACAAAGGCTAATGTAACTACACCACCCAACTTAATAGACAAAATGTTATAAAGTGAAAAGCCCCTTGAGTGTCCTACGAGACACCCCCTCAGACTTCCTCTCGCAGATACTTGAAAAGCTGTACAAGCTGCGTCTGGGGGTGTGTGTTCCTTCCTGCACGGTGCTTTCATCTAGCATCCTGTTGCGGGGATAATACCAAGGCCGACGCAGACTTTTCTGTAAAGGGCTAGAGAATAACGGTGTAGGGCCACGCCTTTAAGGACCCTGCAGTCTCTGTGGCAGTTTAGCCCCGCGATTAGCCTGGAGGCGCCACAGGTGGTGTGTGAACAGATGGGCGTGGGTGTGCTCAGTAAAACTTCACTTCACGGATCCTGAAAATTTTAATTTCATGTCCTTTTCATGTCATGAAACATCCTTTTGATTTTTTCAACCCGGGGGGCTCAGTCGGTTGAGCATCCGACTTCAGCTCTGGTCATGATCTCACAGTTCACGGGTTCAAGCCCCGCGTCGGGCTTTGTGCTGACAGCTCAGGGCCTGGGGCCTGCCTGGGATTCTGTGTCTCCATTTCTGGATCTGCCGTGCTTCTCTGGATTCGCTGTGGAATGGACGTGGAATGTGAGAGAAGGACAGAATCCGGGTTTGAGGCCTGGCAGCTGGCTGAGGGAGGAGATGCAGCCTGGGACCAGCAGTCCCCGGGCTGCCCGCCGGGCTCGTCCGTCGGGCACGCACACCTCATGGGGTGTTGGGGGGCTTCTGCTCGGGCCCAACACAAGCCCTAAGCAAAGGGCAGGGTCTGTGCTATAGGACAGTGGGGACGGTGCCGGGCACCCGGATGGCTCTGTGGGAGAGACAGGCCCAACAGAGACGCTGATGCGGAGACACTGGCCCGAGACAGCTAGGCAAGGCTGGCCACAGACGGGGCCGAAGACCATGTCACTTTCCACCAGAGGATCCCTCCCCTGGGGGCCCCCATCCTCTGGGGACCCCCTCTCCTGGAGGACCCCCTCCCCTTCAGACTCCCTCCCCTGGGGGCCCCCTTCCCTGGAGGACACCCATCCCCTAGGGGACCCCCTCCCCTGCAGACCCTCTCCCCTGGGAGACCCCTTTTCCACTTCTTGAAGTGCCTCACCTTTGAAAGATAACTTTCAAATCATCTGCATTAATTAATTAAACTACATGCATGTTATTAGAAGAAAATATTGTAAATCATAGAATCCATGTGCCTGTTAACCCGGTACAGTAAAAGAGGCATATTGTTATTGTACCTCCACTTCCTTCTAGAACATTAAATACTTCATTACACTAGGGCGCCTGGGGGGCTCGGTTGAGTTCCTGACTCTTGATTTTGACTCAGGTTATGATCTTAAGGTTTGTGAGTTTGTGAGTTCAGCGCCCCAAGTTGGGCTCTGTGCTGACACTGCGGAGTCTATGTGGCATTCTCTTTCTCTCAAAATAAATAAACTTAAGAAATACTTTATTACACTTTATTAACCTCTTTCAAACTACAAAACTGCCATGTCTTTGTTAATCCAGTGAAATGACTCCTTTCTTAAAATGGGAGAAAAGATGACTCTTTGGGGCCCACTTTTTTAACCAACAGATAAATAAGCAAAGGGTGTGATCAGAAAGCACAGAGGAAGACAGCGAGTCCATCCACAAATACGAAAAGCCATTTATTATCACTGCTGCCCCAGGGGCCGTAAGTTAGATCCCAAAGATACGCATGCATTTCTCAGTTGAAAATTCAAATATTAATTGAACTAGAGCGGAGGGAGCCAGGCGGTGGGTGTGAGCGCCCCCTGGGGCAGGAAGAGGCTGGTGGGTCTGGCCGGCTCCCGGGGCCCCCCTGCCACTGGCCTGCTGCTCGGGCTCGGCCCTGGTGCCCCTGCTTTCAATTCTTATGTTTCCTTCTGTGTTTCGTTCTGTGCCTCTTCAAAGACTCCCTAATGCCCCCTCTGACTGCTGCTCTGCAAGCGTCCCCACGGAGGGAGGGTGTCACCAGCCAACGGAGCGAGGCACCGACGACGGGCCATCAGACCGAGAGGCACGGGAGCCACTCTTGTGCCCGGCTCAGGCCCAGGGCCCCTCCCCAGGGGGGCGCGTGTGACACTCAGGTTCCTGGTCTCCCGACGGGCACCGAGGGCCTGTTGTGGTCATCCTGGCCCATGGACATGACCACTCCCCTCCCTTGTGGCCTGTCCCCAGCGTGAGCGAGTCCCTGATACCAGAGATATGGGGCCAGCATTTCTTCCTAATCTTGAGGGAGGCCTGGGTGACATATGCCCTCGGTGACGCGTGGACACTGAGTCCTTTTGCCTGCGTTTCCGTGGCAGGGCTCGGAGAGCACCGAGACGGGACGGCCCTCTGGATGTTCGGGGAAGGCACCGCCCCGCCTGGCCCAGACCGTCTGCAGAGGCCCTCGTCTGCCAGGCTGCGCAGCGCGAGCCGCGGCTGGGTCAGGACAGGCACAGCTGGGCGGCATGTCGGCGCGGGGCCCGGGGCCCTGGCGGGTGGTGGCTGTCCCCAGTGACCGCAGTGTCAGGACCAGATGCCTCTCCTCGTGCCCTTGCACAGTTGTCTCCCAGGGCGCTAGGGGTGAGGGTGCCCACGGCCCCCCACGGCGGGCCTTCGAGGCTGGAGAGGGCGTGCTTCGGGGCATTTGTCCTTTCTTGGCCCCACCTCCCATGGGGACCGGATTGCCTCTGGCCTGCACGTTGTGTGCCTGCCGGGGCTCAGGGAGCGGGGCTTGTCCGGGGGCCATGCCACCACCCCACCCGCCCAGCAGGGCTCTCAGAGGCTGAGACAGGGTCTGTCTTTGTTTACTGCCACAGGGGCGGCACAGGACCTCCGGCGTGACTTGCAGGTCGGCTTGGCAGAAAGAAAACCGGTCCCCAAAGCCACGCTCCGCTCAAGAATCCCGCGAGGGAAAGAGCCACCACGCCCGAAGCTCCTCGTCACCATCCAGCGGTCCCCTCCAGGACACGTGGAAGTTACTGGAGCTGGGATCCAGCCCCTCTGGCCTCGCGTCCCAGGACGACTCTGCGCCAGGTAGGCAGGGGCCGGGGTGCAGGGCGCACGAGTCCCGGCTCCAGGGGCCCGGACACGCCAGGCTCGGCGACTTGTCACTGGCACAATCCAGAGGCAGAGAGACGAGCGGACGTGGCACCGGGAGGGCAGTTATTTCAGTGAGGCCGACGCCAGGGAGACGGCGGGTGAGCATCTCGAAGACGATCTCCGAAGTGGGGGAAATAAATAGTCCTGGGTCTGTGTAAGGGAGATGTGGGCAGAGGCCACCGTGCAGGTGGCCGGAGAGGGTCGGGGGGGACCTGCTGGGCAGGGCGGCCCCTGTTGCTCTGGGGGGGGGGGGCACCCTCGTCAGAGGCCCCCGCCCCGCCCTGAGGGGCCGGCCGTCGCGGCCGCAGCTTCCATTTGGCTCCTGCGGTGGTTTCTGTCCTGCGTGTATTTTCGTTTTCGTATTTTTCGTTTTTGGGTAATGTTCTTGCTTTTAATCCTTTCTGGTTCTTGCGCCCTTTTTCGGCCTTTTCCACTCCCAGATTAGAGATGATTCTTCCCCGATTTCTTCTAATACTTACGGCTTCTTTTTTTAACACGCAAATCCAGGAAGCATTAGGGACGCACCCCGCATATGCTGTCAAATGGGAACCGAACTGTTTCCGCCGCGGGGCCCAGCAGCGGTTCCGAGGGGCCCGTTTGGCCCTCCGCCCGCCGCCGCCGCGGTCTCCTCTCGGTCCCGGTTACTGGGTCTTCGCGCGTCTTCAGACTCGGCGCCGCGCCCCTCCCCCCGGCCCCTCCCCCGCAACCCGCCCCCGGGTCGGCCCGCCGCGCCTCAGCCCTGCCTGCCTGCCGCGGGGCGCACTTCCGTCACTTCCGTCTCCAGCGCGGTTCCGAGTGACCCTCGGGTTCTGTCCCCCCCCCCCGCCCCCCGCAGCCCCGCTTCCCCCTCCTCTCGCGCGGGCGGCACCGCGGCACTTTCCTGGGTGCTCCGCCCACGGGGGCCGTGCTGTTGGGGGAGGGGCGCCGGAGAAACCGTGCCGGACCCCGGGGTGCCTCGCACACCGGCAGCAGCTCCGGGACGCCGCGTCCTCCCGTGTTCACACACGTTCACACGTCTGCCGCCTCCTGTCGCGGGGTCGCGAGGTCGAGCCCCGTGCTGGGCCTGGAGCCTGTTTAAAATACGTAAACAAATAAAGCCGGGCTGGCTGTTTTGTAAACTGCTCGTCACACTTGAAGGCAGCCAAACGAGACAAGAAAGTGAAGAATTCTTTTTTTTTTTTAAGTTTATTTATTCGGAGAGACAGAGACAACACGAGTGGGGAAGTGACAGGGAGAGAGGGGGAGAAAGAGAGCGAGAGAGCGAGAGAGAGAATCCCAAGCAGGCTCTGCACTGTCAGCACAGAGCCCAACCCAGAGCACAAACCATGAGATCATGACCCGAACCAAAATCAAGAGTTGGAAGCTTAGCTGACTGAGCCAGGTTCCCTAAGAAGGTAAAAAAGTTTTTTTAATGTTTTCATTTATTTTTGAGAGAGAGACAGTGTGAGCAGGGGAGGGTCAGAGAGAGAGGGAGACACAGAATCCGAAGCAGCTCCAGGCTCTGAGCTGTCAGCACAGAGCCCGACGTGGGGCTCGAACCCACAACCTGAGAGATCATAACCTGAGCTGAAGTTGGACGCTCAACCGACTGAGCCCCCAGGCACCCCGGAAGAATTCTTAAAAGCCAAAGATTCTTGGGGCGCCTGGGTGGCTTAGTCGGTTAAGCGTCCGACTTTCGCTTAGGTCATGATCTCGCGGTTCGTGGGTTCGAGCCCCGCGTCGGGCTCTGTGTTGACTGCCAGCTGGAGCCTGGAGCGCCTGTTTCAGTCTGTGTCTCCCTCTCTCTCTGACTCTCCCCTGCTCACGCTGTCTCTCTCTCTCTCTCTCTCTCTCTCTCTTTCCTAGAAATAAATAAAAAACATTAAAAAAAAAAAAAAAGCCAAAGATTCCATGAAGGAGGAGCTGAGCACTGAGGTCTGGTTTGACCCCAAGACCTTTGTCAAACTGGGTGAAGTTGACAGTGGGTGTCACACCCTCCTGGTATTTAGAAAGTAGGGGTGGGAGTGTGACGGGTGACCCTGCCCAGAAAGCTGGAACTGGGAAGGGCCGCCTCATCAGTGGGAAGGTAAGCCAGCCCCCACTGAGAACGGGGCCCTTGCACAGAGTGCTGGCAGGGGGCCCATCGTGACTTGTCACCACACGCGGCTCTCACGTGAGTTAGTCCCAATCACCACGCCTGGGTGGTCTGAGGAGTTCAGTTCTGAGTGATTGTGAATTGATGGGGCCCCCAGGCCACTTCAGGGGGTCCACTTCATCTAGGCCACAAAACTTCCCACAGTCAGATTCCAGTTGAGAATATGGTCCCGCACACAGGGAGTGAGGCTGGCAGGGGGCAGACCTGCACGGGCCGTTAATAACTGAGGTTCACAGCTCCCGAGAAATAAAACACCAGCAAGAAAGTACGTTCGAGAAACAAAGAACTATAGAGAAAAATCAAGCAAACTTAAGAAAAAAACAGTTAATGGGCCACCTGGGTGACTCAGTTGAGTGTCTGACTCTCGACTTTGGCTCAGGTCATGACCCCGGGGTCGTGCTCTGCGCTTGGAGTGGAACCTGTTTGGGACGCTCTCTCCCCCTCTCTCTGCCCCTCTGCCACGTGTGTGTGTGTGTGGGGGGTTGGGTTGTCTCTCTCTCTCTCAATGAAATGAAACGAAATGAAATGAAATAACTTCGTTTCTTAAAAAAAAAGAAAAACTTTCAGAAATGAAAAATGTAATTATTCAAAATAAAAACTTAGTGGATGGGTGTAACAACAGATCATGTATTGTAGAATTAGTGAAATAGATGTCATAGATGAAGAAATTACCCAGAGAGACAAAGAGATTGACAAAGAAGGAAGAAAGCAGGTCAGGAGCCGTGGAGGACAGAGTGAGAAGGTGTGACGCTTGCTGGTCGGCCTCAGGTCAGAGTCTGGGACAAAGTTGCCATGTGAAGACGGTGGCTGAAGTCATCCAGATAATACCTCCCGGTCCCGGAAAGCCTCACTGATCCCAGTCTGAATGGCTACAAAGAAGTCCACACTCGGATGTATCAGAACAGAGCCGGTGGTAGTGACATTATTTTGACAGCTGTCAGAGAGCAGACAGGTCACCTGCAGGGACCTGTCAGTCGTGACCGATAGCTGACTTCTCTGTGGGAGCCAGACGGTGAAATTGGATGGGTACGTGGGTCCCTCAGAGCCCTACACCCCGGGACACTGCCACCAGAGGGCAAAACGAAGAGTCTTCAGACAATAAGAACTGAGCACAGTTGGATGTTTGCTAAAAACATAAATACAAAATAAAAATTCCGAAGTAGGAATTGGCAAAAAGTTTCCATAAAGGGCCAAATAGTAAATATTTTTCTCTCTGCAATCATAAGGCATCTCTCGCAGCCACTCATTTCTGCTATTGTAGCTTAAAACAGCCACAGACCCCATGTAAATGAGGGTGTGGCCACCTGCCAATAAAACTTTATTTAGAAAAACAGGTAGCAGTGTTGTTTCTTTCTTTCTTTCTTTTCTTTTTTTTAATGTTTATTTTTGAGAGAGAGGGAGACAGAATCCGAAGCAGGCCGTGAGCTGTCAGCAGAGCCCAACGCAGGGCTCCAACCCACAAACTGTGAGATCATGACCTGAGCCGAAGTGGGATGTTCAATGGACTGAGCCCCCCAGGCGCCCCGCAATGTTGTTTCCTAAGCTGAGTACACAGGTGTTTGTTTTATGCTTTTTTTTTTAAGTAATCTCTACACCCAGCGTAGAGACCCCGAGATTAAGAGTTGCGCACTCCTCCAACTGAGCCAGCCGGGCCCCAGAGTTTGTTGTTCTTTTTTTTTTTTCTTATTTCTTAAATTTTTAATGTTTCATTTATTTCTGAGAGAGAGAGACAGCATGAGCAGGGAGGGTCAGAGAGAGAGGGAGACACAGAATCTGAAGCAGCTCCAGGCTCTGAGCTGTCAGCACAGAGCTCAACGCGGGACTCACACCCACGAACCGTGAGATCATGACCTGAGCCGAAGTCGGACGCTCAACCGACTGAGCCCCCCAGGCGCCCCTGAAGGATTACTTCTGTTACGGTATTTCTCAGGCACGCAGCTCATAGGTGCCCAATGCGAGATTGGGACCCGCATCAGGTTCTCCACAGGCAGTGCAGAGCCGCTCGAGATTCTCTGCCTCTCTCTCTGCCTCTTCCCTGACTGCATGCACCCTTTCTCTCTCTGTCTCTCTCTCAAATAAATAAATAAACTTTAAAAAAATAAAAATCACACATCTCTACAAAGCAAGTAAATAAATAAACATCATAAATTTCTAATATAATTATTTTTCAACTTCAAAAACAACCCAACTGGAAAGATTTTCTTAACCCAGATGACAAAGGTCAGTCACATATGAATAACTCAGCCACACCGGTCGGGACAGGAGCACTCCCAGGACAGGAGGCCAGGCTTGGGCCCACCTCTGAAAGCCTGGCCCTGCCCGAGGGCGACGCCGTGTGTGATGGGCGGCTCCAGGGGAGGGTAGAGCGCTGTGCCGCCCAGGAGTCCCGGCCACACGGGCGCTCAGGGTGTGGAGCGCCCACTGGAGCAGAGGAGTCACTGCTCTCCCCACCTGGCCCCCTCCGTCCCCTGCCCCTCTGCACACCTGCCCTGCACTCTGGCTGCAGAAGCAGACGGCGAGCATGTGTGTGTCTGCTCACATTCAGGGGCGCGTGCCCGTAGGCAGCTTGCTCATTCAAGGCCCGTCCCGTGGCAGGTTGGCGACACGGTGTGCCAGGACGTCCTTTAACCACCGTGTGTCCTGGACTCTGGGCGGCCTGTGGGCTTAGCTCCTAAGACAGCGGCACGGAGCGAGGCCGTGGGAGTGTGCTATCAGCGCAGCGCCCAGGATCACTGGGTCAGAGGTGTGAGTGGTTTGCGTTCTGCACGGTATTTCCAAATCGCCCTGAAAAAATTGGCCC